CACACTCGCAGTGTTCACCTCTTCAGTCACCAGACTGCTCAAAGATGACAGTGCACTTCTGCGTCTGAATCCTACACCCACTTTTTCGCCCAACATAGATATTTTAAGTTCATTAAACGTGTAGTTACAACAAACTACAATTATAAATTTTTATATTATTGGAAGTACATGATAGACATTTTTACACAGGACAATAATATTAGTTCACACAATATAAAAGTTAGCATCACGGGAATAGTTAGTTAGTGCACCGAAACAACTATAATTACTAAACAGAATATAAATGTACATATACATATTAATCACTCCCTAAGTACTCCACTTGCTTTCTTTTGCGTTGTTGTTGTTTGTCTTCTTTTGTCTCTCACCATTTTAGCTTCCATTTGACTTTTTGAATGAGAATGAAGAATGTAGATATTTGCCCATTTACAATGACAAATGATCTGCAGACATTATTGGTCCCATATCTTACAATTCTCTCGTGAATTGCGCATTGCCTTCACCAACGACGCAACCTGGATTACAGTTGTGAAATATACCTTTATACCAATAAAAAGTATTGATTTATAATACTTCACGATTGTAACTTACAACGTAACTGATCTTGTCTGCAAAATAGCTTGCATTTCTTGAAAACACCCGTTTATAAGAAAATATAAACTGCCATTATTATTAGTCTACCTTGAGTACTATTCATCTGTGATGTTACGAAGAAAATGCTGACAAAAGTATACAAGTGTATTACTTATTTGAAATTATTATCAAATTTGGATATAAATCAAGAATGAGACTCGATGCAGTACACACCAAAGTTGTATGGAGGAATTACTTCAAGCTTTATTTTTTCCCAAGTATTTGTAACCCATCCAAAACATACTTGGGTTTTTTTGTTAATGCGAAGACAATATTTCTATATTTCTTGATGTGCTCCACTGAATGACTAGTTATCATATTGTTCCCATAGACAAAATGACTGCAACCTTATAATTTTACCATGAACCAAATTTATGTAATTAAAATAATACTTATCCATGCCTGTACAATTGGTGTGTCCTACACAGGTAGGAAAAATGTATTTTATTAAATTACTATTATTAAATATGCTTACTAAACGTATATGTAACTTATCATATTGATGATGCCTGTAAATTGGCGTCCCTCATGTAAAAAATGAGAATATACCATTATTTATTTATTTGTAGTGATTATTCTAAGTAACAAGACCACCATTTCCGTGCTACCATTTTTGTATATGACAGATGGTATGTCGTCTGTTCCAGTACTACCATTAGACTTCAAAGTCTTAATCGCTGAGTCTATATTTCGTATATTAAAGTCTTTTTCGCCTAATTTGTGGTTACTTTTGCAGGCCATTTGGAAATTTTGGGTCGGGTGCACTCTGGCGTCATTGCAAAACCACTCACTGAGGAGTTCACTTATAACCTGGGGATCATTGTATATTATACCCTTATGTTCCAAGCTGCTTACAGTATTGTCTTTACTGCTTTTTAGACGTTTCTGCAATATTCTACAAAGCTCCTGAGTTTTGGAGTTACCCACATGCGCTTTATTTTCTCCAAGTTGTGACATCATTTTGTGTTTATCTTCAAGCCGTTTAGGAGTTTCATGTATTTGGTTTAACGCATTAAATTCCTTAAATACATGGTATTTCCTTTTCAATTTCTTTAGTTTTAGTCGCGTTTTGCGGTCTATGAATGGAGTTGGTGTCTTTAGAGCAGATTTTAGGGGCAAGATTGTGTCTCTTGCTGAGCAAATTGTTTTGTATAAAATATCAAGTGATACTTCTAAGTTATTGTTGATGAAGTATTCTTCCCAGTCAGAACTTCTCAGCAGATCTGATAGGAATTCCCAATCGGCATTCTTATAGTCCCTATATTGATAGTGCACCGGGGAATTTTTAGGTGTGTATTTAGTTGTTAGTCGGAGGGGTAGCGTGCAGTACAATATGTTGTGATCACTGTTATCAAGTTTATTTCCTACCTCTATCGAGATGGGCTTTATTTCATGACAGGATTAAGTCAAGAGTATTTTTGTTTCTTGTACGGAGGCGTACGCACTGCTTCCATCCGCCTACGTCTATAGCTTGTATTAGCTCGTCATGGATTCTAGGTCCTGTACAGGCATCACAGTTTACTCCAGGTAAGTTGAAATCGCCACAGACTACTTTGTAGTCAAAATACAGCGTAGCTACATGCTCTAGTATTTCTCCAATAGTTATATCAGTCATTTCAGGGCTATTAGGGGGTCTGTATATACATCCCACGAGAATTTTATTTTCGTTTGTGTGGGTGCTTATCCACTTACATTCTGGGAGTTTTTCAGTAGTTGAGTTATTGAAAGTATTGGAGTTGGTGGATTTAGAGGCATATATTACGCAACCGCCTCCTCTTTTGTCAACTCCATCGTTGATTCAGATGTCGTAGTTGTCTATTACTAGCTTTAAGTCAGGTATATCAGTAGTAAGTCGGGTTTCAGTCACCATTATTAGTGTTGGCCGTTCTATGTATGCCAGGCAGCGAAGCAATGTTATTTTATTAAGGAGAGATCTAGCATTCAGGAGCATAATCGTTAGTAAACCAGAGTTATTGGAGGAGAGGCTAACATGGTTACTTGTTACTACCCCTACGTTATGTTTGGAGGGGCTCTGAGGTGAGACAGAGTCAGTGTGTGTACTATTTCCTGTATGAATTGTGCAACGAGTGGGGCTATTGTTTGCTGCATCCGAAAATAATCCTGTTGCATGTTTTGACTTTTAGCATCCATGGGTGGGCATCTGCGTTCATTTACTGGTGATATATAGTTTGCTTGACCTAGGTACCCTGTGTTAAGATTACCTTGGTAGTTGTACCTCATGGGTCTTTCATAGACGTATGCATATTGGCTCACATCACATGTGTGAGTGAAGTTATTGAGAGGGTCAAGTGTCGATCTATACTCATTATGTTGATGAGGTTTAACATAGATAGTGTGAGAGTTTGGACGAGAATATTCATTAATATGGTGCCTATATGAGTCCCGTTTAGTGCTCCATATATCCTGATGATCCATTCTACGTTGCATTCCCAAGTTATGTGCGTTGCTAGGCATGTTCATCCTAGTTCAGGAAGGGGTATTCTTACTCACATGATGGATGACGTTTCTGGGAATATGGTTTTTTACCCATGCTTTGTCACTTTTTAGACTGACATGGTGCTTATTAGACTTATTGAGAGGGAGGTATGTCGAAGTCTGGAGTGGGACTCTAGGCTTTGTGGTCTTTCTTGCAGTTTCTACTGCGGGACTCTCGGGCTTGCATCCAGATTGGGTGTCGTCTGCCAGTGGTTTCTGGTCAGCCATGGTTTGTGAGTCAATATCAACCTCATGCATGTCAGCAGGTTTTCCAGATGTGCTCTCATGTACTTTAAGATTGCACCCAGTGACACTGCTCTTACTGAGTTTCGAGTCGCTTTTACTTGCCGATTTTTTTTCCAAAACTATACAGGTGACTTGCTGTGCTTCTGTGTCCGTCGACACTTTCGCACTGATACCAGGTGTATTTCTCGGTGTGTTCAACTTTGTATCGAAGGAGTTCTTGGTTGCTTGCCTTTGGTTAGTTGTTTTATCCGAGACCACATTAATAGTCTTGAATTTAGTGGCAGTAGCCAGAAGATCTTCGGCCTTCTTACCTACCTACGAGGAATTTCTCCGTCCACTCTAGTAAGCTGCCTTTGATTCCAGGAATTTTCGATTTCGTGAGTTTTGCTTTTGTGAGGCACTTTGTCGAAGACTTTTGCTGAAGCCTATTAAGACAACTTCGGTAGGCTTTCTATTGTCCTTTCACTTGACTCAGCTTTCTCTTGCCGTGAGAAGATTTGGCAAGTATGAGAGTTTTCCTCGGAAGTCGTGTTGTGCTCTGGACAAAAAGCTGTTGTTTTCCAAATTTACCGTGATGGCTTCCATGAAGATACCTTCCACTGTCTTGATTAAGCTGCTGATCAGATTAACTTTCCTTTGGTGTGAACGGCAGTGTCTTGATCTTCCTTTGTGAATGGAAGTGGCTATGGCATTTTCCAGTCGTGCGGCAGCACTCCATTTAGGAGAGAGAGCTTGAAGATCGCAAATAGGGGCAGGCTGTGTGAACTGATAGCCCCTTGAAAAGCCTTGGATGAAGATTATCAGGACCCACTGACTACCCTGCATCTAATGTCTTTAAACAGTTGGATACGATGTCTTGGTTGATATCAACAGAGTACTCCGTATCACTTTATTGTGTTACTGTTATTGATATGGAGAGGGACGACTCTTGTGTAAGGAGTTTGGAGAAGTTGTTCGCCATTTCCTCTGCTTTTTCTTGATCCTCTTCGATTGTGATGTTGACAGTAGTCAGGTTTGGGACCCCACTGGATGTTTTATTGCTGAAGTTTATGCACTTGTCAGTCAAATGGATATAAAGAGACAAAACCTTATATCCCTAACAATTTATTCGGTGGAAGAGACTAATGATTAGGCGCAAAATTTTCGGGAGAAAAACTATATCGATCAAAAGAAGCGGATATCATGAATAGGACATCAGGAAAGAACAAACCTAAGGAGGAAATTTATCGTTAAGATCAGGTTACGTCATCGAGTGGTTAACCCTTGGAATCAACTCGACTCATTCTGGAGTCTTCAAACGTACTACTGTCCACAAAAATTCCAAACATTAATTCCATAGACTCTTCATGAACTGCACTATACGGCTTTTGATAGAAACAAAACTGTTGCTGCAAAGAAGCCATTCAAGAATAACGGCTATTGATGTGAGAGCGGAAATAAATAATTTCCAGAGTATTGTATATGAAAATTAAGATTTGAAGGTTAATAGCATGCACTTGGATATTGAGCATGTTTTAGGGCGTTGCGCTCAATATGTATAGTTGTGTTTACTCGTGTCTCTTTGCCTTTTGGAGAAAAGCTGGTTGACTTAGGCTGTTGTGTGTAACTCTCCTTCGATTTACGACATGGATTTTGTGTTAGCATTCAGTAATGAAGTGAGTTGCGCTTCATACTAATTACTGTGTATAGTTGACATCATTATCAGACTCAGATATACCACTTTCCAAGGCTAAAATGGCTTCAATAACAAGAGCTGCCATGAAAGCATTAAAGTTTTACAAATATATTGTACAAAGGGTCGAAAAGTTTATAGCAAAATGCCCACCGCAGTTCAAACTTCCTGGACTTTACATTATTGACTCCATTGTTAGACAGTCTAAACACTTTTATCGAGAAAAAGATGTTTACGGGCCCAGATTTTTACGAAACTTGGTATCCGTTTTCATCTCTGTTTTGCAATGTGATGAGAAAGATAAACCAATGGTATCTCACTTACTATACTTATGGGAGAGTTCTTCCGTCTTCCCAAAAGAAGTATTATATGCTTTAAAGGATATTAAAACAGATCCAGAAAACCCGCAAGTCATAGAAAAAGGTAAGACATTACATTATCTGACTATTGTTTTAGCCGAGGAAGTTGTCCGTGAAGCTCTGCTTAAGTTGTCAAATCATAATGTAGCAGATACTACAATGCAGTTGCTTCCTCCACGAAATCACTCAGTTTTAAATAATAATAGCACTACAAAAATGTACAGTATGGCTCCTTTTGAGGATACTGATAAGTGCACTAGAAAAAGCTCGAGTGCAAGGGTCCAGTTACTTCAGTTACAAGTAGGTCTAACTTAGAATTCAGTACTTTTTATTTTATCACATTAACGACCGCCATATAATTCACGTCAGTGTATATTATTATTATTGTTTCCTTTATTTCCTAGAGGAACATAGGGCTGGCTTCAGCCGTGCGTCTCCATTGAGTTTGGTTCCCTGCTAGAGTTTTCACCTGGCTCCAAGTTTGCCCACACGTTTTCATCATCTCCTCTTCACATGACCTCCTCCAAGTCACCCTCACCCTTGCACTGACGACCAACTCGCCGCTTCCCGTTCGAGTTCCACTCGAGCAATGGCTTGTCTAGTGATGTCACTTGATGGTTTCCCCAGAGTATGGCCAATCCATCTCCATTTCTTCCTGCCTATTTGTTTCACAATCGGTTCCAAGTTGGTTCGCTCATTGCCAGAGATCCCACCCTGTTGCTGATCTTTTCTGGCCAGTCATCTGATCTTGAGTATTGAGGGAAGACAACTGTTAATGAAGGTCTGTAGTTTGTTTGAGATGGTCTTTATGACGCGCCAAGTCTCTGATCCGTATAGTAGCACTGACTTCACATTGGAGTTGAAAATCCGGATCTTATTTTTGATGCTGAGTGCTGTTCATCTCCACACAGACTTGAGGGCAGTGAAAGCTTGTCTTGCTTTTCCGATTCTTGCTTTGATATCCTCGTCAGTTCCGCCTGTAGTTGAAACGATGCTTCTCAGGTAGGTAAGTAAAGAAGGTTGTTTCTTTCAGGTTCCTCCCATTTATGCTGGCTGATCGTTGTCAGTGTAGGTGTCTGTAATTAATATTTATTTTAGGTCGTCTGAGAGGCTTATATACTTACGCACGATATATATAAGCTCAGTTCTGAAGAGATTTTTCTATCGCATTCACTTGATGAATGGTTAAGGAAGTTAACGCTTAAATATTGCTACGGGGTCCGGTCATCTTAATGCTGACTCCCATGGGAAGCGTAGTTACCTCCTTAAACCATGAAAATGCAACTAAATAACAAAAAACAGTATATAGTAGCAGACCACATAACCAGTTGCTTCTCGAATGATTCAGTTCATGAGACAATGCTTCGTGTAGTAGTCCTACATCGACAAACGTCATCCTGTGCATAATTCATGCCTTAATCTACGACTGATCTTCATTACTGAATTTTTACAAAGATTTTGGCTTCTTAGTTGTTCTTTGTCTATCCGTGTATTACTGTTATTATTATTATTATTACCCGTAGATCACGTTTCTAGTAGGGCTTAAAGTTTCAGCAGTACATTTTACTCTCCAATCATTTCCAACCTGTTCTACGGTCATCCAGAAACTTTCACGTCCTGGCATGATCTAGATATCAGTCAGACCCCCCCCCCCGAACCTATGGTCTCCATCCTGGTTTCACCCTGGCGTGTGACGTCATTTGGCCTTCTCTTTTTGTGTAAGATGGTGCTTTGAGACTCACCATCTACCCTTGGTCTAAGAATGGATCCAGTAAGCTCGTATGGCAATTGCCAATTTGCTTCTATATATACGACTGTCAATCAAACGAGGTGTCTACCCTCACAACAGTTTGCTGCTACATTTGTCAAGACATGGTCGTCAGTGTTGGAGAATTTTACAGTGCTAGAGGTCTTTGAACATGCGTCTTTGGGCTCTAATTATTTCATTATGTAGTATTTTGTGATCAGTAATTGTTAGGTCAGATTTAGTGTTAAGTAGATCAGTCGACGAGGTTCTGTCGGGGGTCTGGCAGGTGAAGATTTCAATTGTGTAGTGAAAACCGGAGCGTTACACACGCCAACTCACGCGATCCTTGGTACCACTGTGATGTCAGCTGACCTGTCAAAGGTTAGGTTTATAACGCTTCCGTGTACAGAATCTAGCTTTATGCCCGCGAAGCCTGGCCTTTACAATCCGAAGATATCACTGCGGTCTTGCATCCAGTGTAGTCATTATGTAAGTAATTTAACTCTGGTGGCGTATGTTTGGCTGTTATGCAGTTCATCTTCCAGCAAAAGTGATGTAATCATGGACCCCGACTTTAGTGACTTGCACGCGTGCTACAAATATCTCGGAGGCTCATATGCTGGTAGACGGTGGAAAATGCGAAGGGAAAATCAGTCGAGAACTTGGTGCTGTGTTAAAGTAGATAGGTTGGTTTTCCACATCTGTTGGGGGTCCAAGAGTTAATCCAACAGGGCGACTCGAGACATTTTCAAATGCTACTTGAGAGTGGAGTCAGATCAGAAACATACTGCAACTTAATCCTTTTTTTTTCTGAAAGTAGCATAAACTGGTGAACGCTCCTTTTAATGTCATTATTTTCATAATGGTTTTCCTTAATTAGTCTTTTCCTATCTTGTCCATTAATTATTATTTTTTGTATCGCTTATGTTGTACAAGTTTAAAATAAAATTGCATTTCCTGTGACTGCTTCGCCGATTACTATTCGTAGTCATTGCTAGGACTTTTAGTTTGGTTGGTTATCTTCCCAATTTGGGTGCAACTACATGGGGTCAGCTACTTACGACGTGTGTGTCGAGGCGGATTTTCGTTCGTACAGTAGACGTCAGCGGCTATAGACCTCCACTTTGGACTGACTTTCCTAATTCCCCCCCCCTCTCCATAGCGCGGGAATGCAACTTACCTGACAGTCGTAGATTAGTTCCTGAGACTGGAGTTTCTTCACTTAACTACTCTGCTGAACGTGAAGTCCCTATATGCATATTCACCCCTTAACATTCTTTGCGGTTGACAAAAAGCTGTTTCCTCCCATTGCTTTTCATAAGTGTTACAAAATTAAAACGGGTGTATACAACATGTGAAGCTCATACATGTTAAAGAGGTGTCCTCATTGCCGACTAGGGGAAATATATATATATATATATTTCAGTCAAATCATGCACATTGAGTAATCTGATTCAAGTTTAATGTCTAGTGCGATGTACATGTTTTTTTTCTTTTGTTTTTTTCAGGCCCTTCAGAAAAAGATCGCTGAACAGTTGGCTTTACTCAACCAAGAGCGAACAATCGATCCTGAATTGCTTACTCAAATTCATATTCTTATGTCAGAGTTGACTAGACGAGCTGAAGTAGCCGCAGCACAGCTTGCGGATAAAGAAAATGCTGATGAAGATTTAAGGTAGGTGACACTTTTTGCAATGCGATCAATACTTGATCATAATCAGTTTATTTAATGAATTTGTTGATTACATTTCGGAATTGTATGTCATGCAATGAGTTTTTGTGTTGCATATGCATACGCTTTGATTGATATTTATTTTGTCATCCAAAGCCTCAGGATGGTCGGGGGTGGGTGCCTTGCACTGCGGGTTGGCCACCCTTCCGCACACCTCTTGAAATGCTCCCATATGACCGGGCGTCTTACATAGCCTCTCCTAAGAAAGTCCTACTCACTGCCTTCACGTGGTGGAGGTGTTTTTCACCAAAGTGAGAGGGCGAAAGCGGATGCCCGGCGCTCTTCACCGGGTTGACTGTCCATTGGATGACAGTCTAGGGGAGATGGCTAAACCCTGATTCCAAACCTCCAACGACTGGCGTATGAAGCTCACTGGAGCTCACTGGCAGACGTATGGACAAAGGGCTTGTTGGATGTCCTGGATGTCTGGCCCCATTCAAAAAGGCGTATGAACCGAACTCCGGTCACCGGCTGCCAATGGATAGTGGACTCCCTACTCCACTCCTACTGCCTTGTAGGTCACACTTGGTGGTGTAAAGGCTAGAGCTGCACTCTGAAACAAAAGGCCGAGTGGTTCTGGGGACATCACTCGTACCAAATTCCCATGAAACTTCATGAACTCTCTTACAAACGACTCTCACCATGCAGCGATGATTCGAGATGTTCATGAAGCCGGCTCATCCTCCCGTAGGAGATAGCCGAAGTAAAGTAGTAAAGTAGTATATTTATTTTTGATGGATTGTCCATTTTACTTTCATCTGTAAAAATATACTTCATGTGGAGTTTTCACTGACTAAAACTGGATATATATATATATATCTTCACGTTCCCCAGTGGAACATAGGGCTTCAAGCTAGTAGGCTTGAAGCTTCTGTAGCAGTGTTTATTTTTACAGGATGGGTTTGTTAACCTCATGCCCAACCTTTCCTCTCCACCAGCAGTATTTCTGGCCTAGCGAGGTAAAGGAGTGCATCGGCCGGGGATCGAACCCCGAACCATGTTCATGGTCGGTGAGCGTTCTAAACGCTGTGCCACCGACGCCCGCATATATGCTTTGATTGATACATATTTTGGGTGGATTGCCCATTTTTACTTTCATCTGACTAAAACTGTGGATATATACCTGGTGAAATCTTCTCTATGCACAACTTTTATTTTTTTAATAGCCTGTCTTGTATTTTCGAGAAATTCGGTCGGCATTTTCTCATGTGATTAATTGTAAGGCGGGTTTTTGGGGCTTAACTATTTAGATAAAATATTCCGTCAGTTGAAATCATTTTAGCTAGCTATCTGCAATTAGTAGTAGTTCCTCGATTCATTCGTTGCTGATTTTATTATAAATTTGATGACAAATTATTAAAAGAATGCATAGTTACTGAACAAAGAATAAATACTTTTCGATAACCCCTTCATCATTATTATCAGGCTCTACAGTTATATATCCATCCATCCATTATAGTGAATGAAGGAATGAATGAATGAATTAGTGTTATGAACAACAACATGAATGTTCCTGTTTAAATAACATCGAATCAATAATAACAATAATACTAATAATACCAATGGATTACAGTTCAATAGCATCAACATAACAATACACACTGAATGTCAGTTGAATTAGGGAAGATAATATTGCAAATTCACGAATTTATAGTCTCTACTGAAGGCCAGTAAGGGCAGTAGTAGTGGCTAGCTGGCTGAACTTGCTTCTTCTCCACACACACAGCACTGGTTGTTTGAGGCGAATTGCAATAGCCTCTGGTGTTTGGAGCATCCGGTGCTTCGATGATGATTTTGTCAATTTATTAGGCACACGGTAGATGATGATGGAGAAGGATTCTTCCACGCTGACTGGCTGGCTTTGCGGCCGGCTGGTTTGCACCAGATGGTCCAAAATCGAAATGTTGATAACGGTTTTCACTACAGCTTTACCTAGCCATAGCGGGAGATGTTCTCGAGCGACCGAGAAAAATCAAGTTCCTAGGGCAACGGCCAATATAACGCCCCACCAGCACAAGCACAGTTGCAGTTGAATTGGTAGATACAATTTGAAGTGGCTAGTCTAGTCTAGGTACTTCATCTTTCAGTCGAGGTAGCACCATCGGTCGTGTAGAGAATAAGACGTGTAGTTCGCTGCCAGCATTAAAAGTTCTTTGAACTGATTTTCTTAATTTCTTCGTAATTATCTCACTTGGTATAACGATCGCCCCTGAATTGCAGTCGTATATAAAGTGGCTTCTTGTTTACGGATGGAGATTGAGTAGTCGTTTTCCGCCACTTTCTTTGTCATGTGTTTCTTGATAGCTATTTGTCAGGACAGCTATTTTCGATCAATCAAGGTATCATATACAATGCTTACTTAATTCATCCTTAATTACTTCTTCTGAGCATATAGCTCTAACTAACTCTGTGGCCGAGTGAGGGTCTTCACTAAATTTATTTTGTACTTGATAGGAACGAAGCTGTGAAAATGTGTTTATATTGTCCTGTTGTCCAAGTACTTTTTCTATGCAAATTTCTTTTGATGCTACCATCTGGTTTTCTTGTAAGGAGGACGGGGATCCAGGAAGGCAATTCATTTTGTCTTGGGATTCCTCTTCGCGTGTGAATTTCATAGCTGAATGTACTTCATTGAATGAAGGTGTCATCCATATACCGGCAATACAATTACTTTTATTATTAATTCTGTCTGTCTGTCTGTCTGGATTCAACATAGAACTCGGCACCGAAGTGCAGCAGTTCCAGTCGCCACGTTCCAAATACCACACAAAGGTAGACAAGAAAGTGAATGAGTGAAGAGAATCAATCAATAGAGTTTTGACAAGTATAAGAGTGAAACAGACAGAATGAGTAATGGTAGAAAGGAATGTGAAAGATTACACCAGAGACTGAATACATCTGCGTAAGCCATTGACAACGATTTTAAGCCATGTCACCTATTGTCTCCAGCCATTGATTGATTCTTAGAGTCCCGAGGGCGGACCGCAACCACTCGGAAGTCTGCATCTCCCTCCCTGCCTGACTGACTCAGTTTAACTGTCAAGGATTGATGTCATGGATGGATGCCATGTTTTTGTTTGGCCATTAATAAAGTTCAAGTTTATTAATGGGAAGAGAATTGCATGAAGTATAATTCGATGGTTTTTACACGCTTCATATCGTGTTCACCGAATAAGATTCATGTTGTCACTGTTTTGATCAATATTTAAGCATCTAAGGCTTAATTATGTAACAATAGTAGTAGTTATTGTTCCCTTGGGTTCCGAGAGGAAAATAGGACTGGCTTCGCTAACACATCTCCACTTTGTTCTACTTTCTGTCATCCTCTTCAGGTCCACCATTGCCCAAACTCTCTCTGTCTCATCTCTTCCTCACACCATCTCCATGTCACCACCCAGCACCGACCACCCACTCATCGCTTCACATTTTTATATTCCACTCGAGTGATGGATGGCCTGCATTGTGCGCGATGTCATTTGACTGACTGTCTGTCTGTGTGTAATCGACATAGAACTTTGCACCAATGTGCACCAGTTCAAGTCGCCGCCACACTCCCTCCACTCCATGTAGCACACAAAGCAACAGAAGAAAGTAGAAGAAATGCATAATAGAGAGACAGTAAACAGAGGTGTGGTGAGACAAAGGAATAGTAATAACGAAGAACACAATATAGTTTCATTTGAAATCGTAAGACACAAGGAGTGGATGCATCTGCGCCACTGAGAACGATTTTGAGCCATATCATCACCAATTGTTTCCAGCCTTCATTGGTTTTCACTGTCCGTCCCGAGGACCCCAACCAGGAAGTCTACACCTTCCTACGTGGCTTAGACTAACTGTTGTGGATTTCTTCATTGACTGGTAAAGCCATGTTTTGGTTTGACCGCCGCCAGCTTTCTTCCAGTCTGACCCTATATCAGCTAACATTACCCATTGTCGAGGAAGGCGATGGCTAGGCATGCATACGTAACACATGTCCTAACCATCTCAGTCGATGTAATTTCACAGTCTCATTGTCGATTGATTTCCCCACCTACCTAGGACTCGACCGACACCTAACCTCAATGTTTCTCACCTTATTATACCACTTCACACGGGAGATAGAACGCAGACACCTATGATCGAACACAGATAATCTTTTCATGTCTTCCACTCTTAATGACCAGGTTACAGCTAGCCACAAAGGAGGACAGAGCGGACTGCTGAGCAGTACACCCACCCTTTGGTCAATAACCAGCCGGATATCACGTCTACTAAGCCAGAGACGGCGTAAACTGGCGGGTGTATGCGAAACTAGCCATCTGTATCCGTACTCAGCCGAGATTTCGTCAGATATCAGCCCGTTGGCGTTGGGGCTGATGGTACTTCCGAAGTAAGTGAAGCGGTCAACGTGCTCCACCAACCACTTCACTCCCCATTTTTCTAATCTAGGAGTCATTTGAATGCCGACCCCAATGTATGCCCTCTTCATCTTCATTTTTGTTGAGCGATCGGCTCAACCAATGCTCTATTGGTTGGTTTGTTCCACTGCGCAGTTTCTTGTGTTACTCTAATTCTTTCTTGCCATTTTTGTTTGTTGACCTTTACACTTTTTAGTGTTATCGATCCAAATATTTTGGCACGTTTACAATCTATGGTTGATACACTTGCACATACTCGTGCACTACAAGAACAATTGAATGAAGCGCTTGCAGAACATGAACAACCTTGGCAGCAACAACAACAACACCACCAGAAGGAGACGACTGTGCGTTCTGCAAACGGCATTGCTATGCAATCGGAAGGTGATACAAGCATGGATAGTAGGAGGGTTAGTTCTATTGTTTACAGAGTGTCACACATTTAATCTTTTGTCGTAAGAATCACGCTTAATTCATTTGGTCATAAGTTATTCTCTCTTTTGTTTTGCATTTATCTAATAAATATTAAAAGTCAATCTGTACGAAGCATATTCTTTTTTCAATAATTTCTCCTATTCAGGTTCTTACATTTATAAAATATAATATTTATTGTCGTTACAATAATGATGGCCAGTTAGTTATGCAGAGGATACATTTTTAACGTAGAATTACAGATTAGCATTAATAAGGCGTCAAAATAAAGAGTCGTATTTCAGTGTGACAAACGTCGTGCTAGTAGGCTGAAATCGATTACAAAATATTTCGGTGAAATGGGTGGGTGGGGGGAATGAAGTGCATAAAAAGCTCGATCCTGTCACAAGGACTTGGTCGAGACTACTGGACATAGCATCGATATCAACACAGCTTTCAGGGTTATATATACGGAATTCTGAAGTCATTATCACGTAAAGTCAGTCCGCTTACGTCTGTTACACATAGCTGAAGTTGTTGCAATAAGATCGATTAAACCGGAACTTTTTATTGAAATAGAATACGTCCAGACGCTGTTCCTACCGTGGCCGAACTTGGATTGATGATTCTTCTTATCAGCAAGAGTGCTTCTTCCCCTTAACCCTCTTAGTTTTTTATTTGCTTATTATTACAGTTTATTATTATTATTATTCGTCATAATTTCTGCCCTTCATGCAAACATTCTCTTAATACTATCGAGTTTTTTGTTCATACTATCCGGACTTAATTATTAGTGATATTATCTCTTTTCTCAATACATGCCTCCACCTGTTTGTTCATTTCACACATTCGTTATTTCATTATGAACCACGTCTCATTACAGTCTTACTATCTCCTCCTGTTTACTACAGACCACTTTGTACTAGCCACTCCACTCACTCACCTAACACCTTTTATAACACTGAACTCACTGACTTGCTTACTTGTCAATTTTCCTACCCCACACTCTACAAATCTATTATGACGACTAATCACCACCACCATTGTCTCCCATTTCACCGAAATATTTTGTAATCGATTTCAGCCTACTAGCACGACGTTTGTCACACTCAAATACGACTATTTATTTTGACACTCCATAACAGGTAATCTTTTATTCTACGTTAAGAAAAAAATGTATCCTCCGGCGCATAACTAACTGGCCATCATTATAGTAACGACAACAAACGCGTTATATTTTATAATTGTAAGAACCTGAATAGCAGAAAGATTCATTGAAAAGAATATTCTTCGTTCAGATTGACTTTTAATTCATGCGATATTATGGGAATATTTCACATTATTGATAAATATTAGATGCTATATGATATCTCTTTACATGCGAACCTCTTTTTTAGATTTTTATGTTTTCTGTTGGTTTAACTTAGATATGATATATTGATACAGATTTTTTAGCTGTTAATTTTAAGTTGGTAGATTTATCTCCATGTGGTTTGATAGCCGAACTGATTATGCAATCAGTTACTTGTTTTGATGAATAGAACTCAAATACGCCAATGACTAGTGGTTGGCCTATTTATCACACACACACACACTAGTTGAAAATGGTTAAGTGTCCACTGCTCACCACCACCACCACCCAAAAGCTGTATATTACATAATCTCCCATGGAACAAACCAAAACACACACAATTCAGCTCTCTTTATCAATAAATATAGTGAGTATTGGTTTGTAGGGATTTGATTGATTGGTTACAGGATTTCATCATGACCAGCTGACATTGGTTAGAGAACCAGTGAAAACCAGCACTGGAGTATTGGGCATCTGTTTCGTCCTAGTTTGGGACTCTCCAGTGCTGGTTTTCAATGGTTCTCTAACCAATATCAGCTGGTCATGATGAAATCCTGTAACCAATCAACCAGATCCCTACAAATCAACACTTGAATATCGATGAGATGTTCACTGGCTACTTGCCCTATTCAGGTAGGTAGTTATCTGGAGTTCTAGTGAGAAGTCGTGATCAGTAGGGTGAAGCAGGTCGGGTGTGATGACAAACACTCGCCGAAGACATTGGATAGCGGTTGCGCTATGTCGTGAACTGGTAGAAGTTAGAATTCATGTACTGACTGGCCATTAAGGAATCGGGTCCCAGTGGCTTAATGGTCTACAAGCTAGCTCGCCTTGTAACCAGAAGGTCCTTGGTCCGAACCCTGGTGGTGGGTGCGTACTGCTGAAGAGTCCCAAACTAGGGCAAAACAGCTGGCTGTCCAGTACTCCCGGTGGCAGGTTTTCCAGTGGTTCTCTAACCAATGTCAGCTGGTCATGATGAAATCCTGTAACCAAATATCGTGAGTCATAGGCCAGAGCAAAAATATTCATTTGTCAACTTCTTTTCAAAGATGTACAGTTGTTGCATAGTGTTTCGAAAGGTCATGAAAAACGGTCACATAGGTCAGTCATGAATACATTGTGGTGACAAAATATGAAGAACATGTCAGGTAAAAGAGAATGAATTACGTCATCACCCAATATTTTTAAATCTTTAATTATTCTTATTATTGATATTAAAAACAAGACAGTGTAAGCGAACAATATTGTTGTTTTCAATTGGATCTTCGTCAGGCTTTACTTTAATTTACATAGATTTATATATAAAACAAAATTTAACCAATGACAGTGATTTTGTGGATCAAATAATAGCCTAGATGTACAGCCTAGATGATGACTTCGTCGAAAAGAAAATTTTCTTCGGCGCAATTGTCTTTTTAATAACTCCTATGATCAAATAATAATAATAAGGTGGTAAATGTTTTGAGTGTCATTAATAACGATGATTATAATGATAACAAAATATTGATAATAAGGTTTATTCAGGTGGCGAGAAGAATAACGAAGGTAGTAATATGTTTGTATATGCAGACAATTCAGTAAATAAATTAGGCCAAATCTTAAAAGTTACGTAATACTAAAGGTACGTGAAGTGGACAGATATAATCAGAGTTTAAATAAATATCATAAAAGTACGAAGGCAATGGAAAATAAGAAAGGGTGCGTGGGAGGGTTTTGAATGGAATTCCCCTAGGCTAGCTAAGCAAGGGAGAGACAAAGGTAGAACAAACTTCTTTTGTCGTATGCAAAGACACTAGGATTGTTCTCTCGAATTAATTCCCATAGCTTCTTCGGGTATGTGTAAAAGAGGGGTTTGAATTCCGTTCGAAAGGCTCGATGGAATGCGATGGATAACTTTGAAGGCACTATTTTTGTCCACTTGGTGACCGCTATCATCAATCTAATGGGCCAAAATAGAACTTCTTATAGATTTTATTTGACCTTTTCCGAAACATGAAGGAAGATGCTCATTAATGCGTTTGTTACACATAGAAGTGGCACAGCTAGCTAGGTAGCTTGTCTTTCACTTGAGCAATCATAATTGGTCGGCAACTGGAAAATGACAAACAAAGGGTGGCGGCAGTATAAGTCCGTCTTATCGCTCTCGATAATCTCAGATGTTGCAAGACTTCACTAGCCACGTCCCCATGAAATTAAATTGCATTTTCATGAAGAGTTGTTTCTTTTTAACTGTTGTCAGTTTTTCTTTGTTGTACCTGGTATTCATGTGTCTCCTAACAAATCTACTAGGATAACCCATTTGGACCAGCGTATTTTGGATGTATCCTAATTCATTTTCTAGGGAGTCATCTGTACAGATACGTCTTGCTCTATTTGTGAGGCATCTGACCAAATTGATTTAGTATCGGATTGGTACAAAACCGAGGAAATGTGTATATTGTCCTACAGATGTAGGTTTTCTGTTCTGCTCAATTGGACATCAAGGAAGTGTAGTCCATGATCGTGTTCTTTTTCACAAGTGAAGATGAGCGATGGATGTGCATCATTAAATTTTATTAACATTTCATTCTTGTCAGCTTTCACATCAAGAATAATAAACGTATCATCAACATAACGGAAATAAGAATCAGTTTTATCTATTACTTGTTTCATTGGACCATTTGCAACATTAGCAAGAAAGAAATGTGCCAAAATTGGCCCCAATGGAGAACCCATGGCAATGCCGTCGATTTGTCTGTAGTAAAGGTTGTTGACTGTGAAGTGTACATTCATAGTACATCTTAAAAGCAACTGTTTCAGACTACTAACTGGAATTTCGATGTCGAACTGTTTTTTTGATAGTATCTGTTGACATATGAATTCCACAGTCTCCATAAGTAGTATATTTTTGAACAGTGATGCGGCACCTGAGGATAGCATTTGCTTCCGATTTACATTGATATCATGTACGTTAGGAATGAATTCAAAAACATATTCACCCAACCACTTTGCCACTAGATGGTAGGTGGGGTAATTATACATCTCTAGGACTAGGCGAACAGGAAGTCGTATTATTTTTATTATTTTATTCGCAAAATCACCGTCATTGGTTAAAACTTTTATATATAAATCTATTTAAATTAGGGTGTGGCCTGAAGAAGAACTAATTGATAGCAACAATATTGTTCGCTTCTATGTCTTGTTCTAATATTAAAAAAAATTAATTATGACTATGATTGAGCCATACCGTCATCTCTCCAGGATCTTTTAGAACATTCTATATCTGTACAGATTTGAAGATAAGCTCCCGAAGAAAACGATATTTTCTACTAACTTATGTCTTTGTAATTTAACTGTTATCATCACGAACGGAGAAGAAATTATTAGCTCCCATAAACGATCTAGTACGACTGTGGATTGGCTTCTCGAAATGCTATCGTCTGACCACACGTTTGTAGCCTTTGCCTTCATACATTTGTTCCCATTGATAAATTTCAATAAAGCAAGAACGATAAATGTACCAGGATAATCTGAATACATTTTTTCTTCTCAACTGGTTACAACCTAAACAATCCCAAAATTATAAATTAAATTGGAAATTTGAACATATTTTTTATGTACAATAATAATAAGGAGTGTAATTGATTGATTGGAACTGATAGTGACATC